TTTTAGGACTCCAGTGGTTGTCCCCCCATCCCTCCCGTTCCCCGCCGCGAGCGCTCTCCCGCACTCGCGGCCCGCAGACTCAGGCGGGATCCTCGGGCTCGAGCTCTTCGGACTCCTGCTCGGGCATCAGGCGCTCCCAGCACTCGTCGGGCAAGGGCTGGTCCCTCCAGGTGCCCAGCAGCTGCTGGGCCCGGGGGGGATCCTTGTGGTGCTTCGCGAAGATCACAGCGTCTGGGTTCACCTGCGCGCGGGCCTAAATTCCGGTCGTCGACGCCTCTGCGGCAACTCACGAGAGCCTGCCATACCATCTTGCTGGCCCTTGCGAATCGACGCTGATCGACGCTATTCGACGCTCATCGACGCCACATCGACGCGAACCGACGCTGATCGACGACTCATCGGCGCTATCTCGTCGATTGCCGATTGGCAGACGCTAATCGACGCGAATGCGCCCTATGGGCGGAAGTACGAAGGTACACCAAGCTCCCCCATTGTCAAGGGCTCGACCAAGACGGGGTTTGCCGCATTCGTTTTGCTTTCGTTCTCCTCTGGTGCTGTCTTCGTTCCACCTTTGCTTCAAAACATAATCAACACGAAAACGGTCCACGAAGTCGCCAAAACAACGTTTGAGTTTACGTCGGGCATGTCCTCCGATAGGCGGATTTTGGGTGACAAATGAAACATTCAAAACACATTCAAAACATCACCATCAATAGTCGAAACATCGCCCCCAGGCTATTATTTGACTACTTTCGAATTTTTCTCCTGTGGAGGGACATGCCCGACTGAATTACGTTTCGGTCGACCCCTGGACTTGTTGCCACAGCCCATGCTGCTAGCAGCAGGCGAGGGCGGGACACACGAGGGCTTTTGTGGCCCCCTCTCTGGTTGACCCAAAAGGAAGTTCATCTGAAGGGGGGTGGTGCAATAGACTCGGGGCAAGTGCACGGTGGGGGCATTTTTTTTATCTGTGTAGGCGCCGTGCGAGCACGGCGGTTTCATGCACGCATTCAAGGGGGGGCGGCAGGGCAGGCGGAGGGCCGCGAGAGCGCTTGCAGCCGCCCGCCGAGCCCTCACCAGCCCTCGGCAAGCCCCGCCGCGCGGCCTGCGCGGGTGGCCGCTGCCCTCGCGGCTCTCCCGCGCTCGCGGGCCGCCGCAGCGTCCGCGAAGCCGTGGGCGCGGAGGACGCCCTCGAGCCCTGGGCGGATCCGCCGCGGCTCGGCGTCCTCCGCCCGCGGGGCCGCCGCGGCCAGGCGCCGGGGCGCCGCGGCGCTCGGCGGCGCAGCATCCTGGCCCCCAGCGCCAGCCGCAGGTGGCGGGGGCGGGGCGGCTGCAGGCTGCCGCTGCGCTGGCACGGGCGCCGCCTCAAGCGACTGCTCCTCCGCGCCGTGGCCCTGCCTGGCCAGGAGCGCCGCCGCCCAGCGCAGGCGCGTGCTCTCCATTGGCGAGGCCAGCGGCGCGATCGGATCCTTCGACGCTGGCAGGATGCCACGTGCGAAGTCCGACCGCGCCTGTGCCCTGGAGCCCTTCTTGCTCTTGGGCTGCCCAGCCGCCGCGCTGGCCCCGCACGGCTAGCCCAGGCCGCGGTGCGCGTACCTGGGGAGGCGGCAGTACATCCAGCCAGCCGCGCAGACCAGGAAGGGCTCGGAGTCGTCGCCCTCGACGCGCGACTCCATTAGGAGGTGGCCGTTGACCCTCCATCCCGCTGGACGGGCCGCATCTGCCGCCTCCGCAGGGGCTGGGCCGCTGCCCGCCGCCGCTGCCGCCGCCAGGCGCGGGCTGGGCGCAGGCGCCGAGGCCTCGCGGCGCCTCTGCTGCTCCTGCGCCCTGCGCTGGGCCACTCGGCGCAGCACCTCCGCGGGCGTCTCGGCCGAGGCTGGGCGGCGCCTCGCGGGCGAAGGCCTCGAGCTGGAGGCGCCAGCTGCCGCCGCCGCTGCCAGGGCCGCCGCCGTGGCGAGGCGGGGGCCGCCGTCAGCCGCCGAGGCCGCCTCGCCATCGTCAGCCGCGCGCACCTCCGCGTCGTGCAACATCCCGAACTCGCCGCGCCCCTGGGACTGCGACTTCGGTGGGCTGAATCCACCTGTCCCAGGGGCGGGCTCCGCCACGGCGGTGTACAAATAGTCGGCCTCGCCGTCGAGCTCCGCCGCCATGTAGGGGGTGAGGTCGACCAGCTCCAGCGAGCTGATGGGCCAGGAGTCCCGCATGCCCGACTCCGTGGCCTGGACCTCGAACTCGGCGGCGTAGCGTGCCGCGTCACGGGCTCGGGCCAGGCAGCCCTGGAGCAGGAGGGCCTCCTCGTCGGCGATGGCGCGCAGCGCCGCGCCCGCCTTCGCGAGCTGGTCCGCGAGGCGGTTGCCGTAGAGCTCCACCTCCGTGAGTTCGCCCCGCTCGACGGCCGCCCGCGAACGGTGGGCGGGGATGTGCTTCACGTGCACCCCCTCGGCGGCGTCGCCGACCCTCGCCCAGAGGTGGGCGAACTGGGCCGTCGGGCCCGCCGCCCTCTTCACGTCCTTGCAGGCCCTGACCGTGCCGAGGCAGTCGATCATGAGGTGGTAGTGGCCGACGATGTCCGTGAGGGCGACCACCGCCGCGTAGTCCTCGCCTGCCCTCGCCGTCTGGCTGGGCACAAGGGCAGGCGGCACCGCCCCCCACGCCTGCGCCATCCACTCGCCGTCGGGCGTGAGCACCACCACCGACCAGCCCGCGCTCCTGATCATCGGGAAGTCGTTGTTGACGCAGGAGCCGTCCGTGAAGACGAGGGTGCCCGCGGGCGCCACGAGCGCGCCCTCGTCCCAGCCGCGCGAGCGGCGCTCCCAGCCAGGGTCCCAGCGCGGCCTCTGCACCAGGTACTGGGCGTCAACGAAGAGGCCCTGGCAGAAGAGCTCCTCGTAGCGGTGGCCCATCGTGCTCACCAACTCGGCAGCTCGCTTCAAGTCGGCGGGCCTGCGATCTCGCCGCCAGCCATCCCAGGCAGGGCACCTGTGGTGGCGGTGGGCTAGGGTCCCGCTCTCCTCGCCACAGAGCAGGCAGCGGTCGTCGATGTCGGTGCCGCGCTTGGCCAGCCTGGCCTGCGGCCAGAGTGACAGAGTCGCCAGCCTGCGCAGGCAACCGCAGTGGTGGCTGGACCACGTCTCCGTGGGCGCGGCGCCGAGGAGCTGGTTGATGGCCCGCCAGTTTGGCGGCAGCTGCCACGGCCACAGGGTCTGAGGCCTGGCGTCGTACTCCTGGAAAGCTGCCGCCTTCCTGGCCGCCTCTTTGGCCTTCTCCGCAAAGAAGGCGGGGGAGTACCGCAGGACGGAGTAGCAGCAGCCGAACTCGTCCTGCAGGAAGTCGCCGTCGTCGCTGAGGCCCCAGCCGATGACCTGCAGCGTGAGCACCAAGGCCGAGATCGGGTCCCTGACGGCAGCCCAAGGGCGCTGGAGCCTCGCGATCCTGGCGCTCTCCGCGACGCAGGCCTGGATCGCCGCCGCGGAGGCCTGGCCTGCCCAGCGGACGTTGGCGTAGGCGAGGACGGCCAAGCCCGTGGCCACCACTAGCGGGTCCTGGCGCCAGCCGCGCGGCGAGCACTGCAGCAGGAAGCCCAGCGCAGCCCCAGGAGCCAGTTTGCCCATCGCCTTGGCCGCTGCCAGCCTCAGGGCTCTCATGCGGCCAGGCGGGATGCCGTTGCAGGCCGAGCCCCACAGGGATTTGGCAGAGGGGCCCGCGCGCAAGACCCTCGCCTGCCGAAGGCCAGGCCCGAAGATCTTATGGAGCCTGCTGGCCTGCCGCAGCGCCGCGAGCTCCCTGCCGACCTGAGTCGCAACTCGCCTGTGGCTGCCAGCCGTGGCGTCGACGCCGAAGTCGCGGTGGCCCGAGACGAAGGCCTCCGCCGCGAGCTGCCAGTCGGGTTCCTGCTGCAGGCGGCGCTGGAGGCCCACCGTGGAGGCCAAGACCTTCGTCTTCGCCCAGTTGATGGGCAGCCGCCTGTCCGCCAGCATCTTGACCACGCCGCTGACGAAGCTCGTGATCGTACGGCTGAGCGTCGCCGCCGACCCGATGCCGTGGCCTGCTATGTCGCCGATGACGTTGACGACCCTGCCGACGGGCAGCAGCGCCCTGGCCTGGAGCAGGAGGCCGTGCAGCATGAGCCTGGCCAGCGTCGTCGCGCAGGAGCAGCCCGCGATGATGGTGCCGCTGACCTCAATGGGCTCGCTGATGGCGGCGTCCGCCGAGGCTCGGCGCGGCCCAGCGTAGACTACGCAGAGGGCCCTGAGTAGGCCGACGCTGAAGCCGCTGCCCTCCGCGGCCTGGCGCAGAAGGTCGTGGTCGATCCGCTCGTAGAACTTGCTGATGTCGAAGTAGACGGAGGCTGCCTCGAACCCGAGCTGGCGGGCGAGCGCGAGCCCCAGGTTGTGGAGGTAGGCCGCCCTGTCACAGCTGGTGTTCGCGCCCTTGCCCCAGACCTCGGGGAGCGGGTGGTCCGCCTCCCACTTGGCGCAGTAGCGGCGGCGCACCCTGCTCCAGATGCGCATCCACATGCTCATGAGGCCGATCGGGCGGCGGCCTCCGTCTGGCTTCCCCAGGAAGACGATCACCGTGGTGAAGAGGGCTGTGGGCTGCGGCTGCTGCTCCCAAGCCGTGAGCACCTCTGCCATCCTCTCGGCGAAGGGCCTGCCCAGGGAGAGGACCAGCCGCGGGTGGAACGCATCCCAGCCCAGAGCGGTCTGCTTCGGGAACGACTTCGCCGCCTCGAGGATGTCGTCCGCCGTGATCGGGGGCAGCTCCATGGAGCAGATCCAGTCGGCTGGTCTGGTCTTGTGCTGCCCGTCGGCTCCTTTCCATAGGGCCTTCCACTCTATGAGGATCTGGTCCAGGGCTTGCTGGCCAACAACAGGGAGCGGCAGGCTGTCGGGGCAGTGCGCGATGACCGAGTCCAGCACCTGGTCGCGGTCCTTTATGACAGCGTGGGCTCCTTTCGCCCCCTTCGCCAAGGCCTGGTCCACGAAGTCCTTCCAGCGCTGTCTGGCCGCCTTGGCGTCTTCTTTGCAGTGTCTCGCCGTCGTGCTGTCGATCACCTGCAGGAAGGCCTGCCCTTGCTCAGTGGGCTCCTGGATCACTTCGATCAGCGAGTCAAGCTTCGTGCCTTCGAACATGGTGCAGTCCGCCTGCTCGAACTTGGGCCCCAAGCTCTTGGCCACCTGCACCAGGTGCTTCATGTAGCCCACGTGCCCCCACAGGGGGTGAACAGACCGCAGCAGCCGCACTTAGCTGCCTGGCGATCCTCCCGAGGCAGAGCCAGCACTTGGTGAGGGGGCTGAGCTTCCTGACAGCCTCCGTGCGCTGCAGGTCCGCCAGTTTCTTCCTGGCGGTGCGGGGTCCTTTGGCCCTGCCCTGGTACCTCTCACCCTCAGAGATGCCGAACTGGTCGATCAGGTGGAGCTCCGCGGCCTCGAAGAACTCCTTGATCGCCGCGTCGGGCGTGCCGTCGCTGTCGGTGAGGGGGGCTGACCAGCTGATCTGGGTCGCCGCCTGCAGGGATTTCTCGCGCTGCTCAGCCGAGACCTCCGAGCCCACGTCAAAGAACCTGGGGGTCTTGAGGACCCAGATCATGGCGTTGCTGCCCAGCTCGCTGAAAGTGAGCCGCACTGGCGTGTGCGGGTGCAGGGTTGTGGGCTTGATGACCTCCACCTTCGGGCTGAGGCCAGCGAGCGCCGTGGAGACCACGAAGAAGTCGTAGATCTGGTCGCCGCAGGTGAAGGTCGCGGGCGCTACCACCACTCCGCCCACAGCCCGTGGCCACCAAGAGGCGGCGAGGACGCTGGGGTCCATATTCCAGTCGGCCCCCACTATGAACGGCTCGTGGAGGCTAAGCAGGAACTCCTGGAGGTCCGACAGCAGCTCCAGGTTGTGGCCTGCCATCCTGGTCGAGTGCACGAGGTAGGCGCTGACCACCGTGACCACGAGATCGCCAAAGGCCACCCGTCGGGCCAGGATGCGGGCACTGTTCTGGCGCCAGTCGTGGCCGATCGCCGCCACGCCCCTGGTCGTTGACGCCGGCGCCCCGACTCCCGCCGAGACCGCCTGCGCCGCCTGCCCCGTGCTGTGGACGCTGCCGAAGGCGGCGCTGAAGCCGTTGCGCCTGGCCCAGCTGCAGGCGTCAGTCACCTTCTGGCTGGAGGTGAAGCGCGTCTCCTGCACCAGGATGACGTCGTCGCCTCCTCCATCGTCCTGGATCCGCTCCAGCTCCACCTGCGTCGCTGACCAGGTCGAGCCGTTCAGCGTGACGAAGCTGGCTCGCTTCGCTCCCGCAGGCCTGATCAGCTTGGCCAGCTGAAGGGGCTTGGCCTGCGGTCGCCCAGGCTGGGGCTGGGCCGCAGGCTTCGCGGCTGCCGCGGCGGCCGCGCGGCCGCAAGGCGGGCGGCTGCTCGCCGCCTTGGGGCTCCGAACCTCAGGGGGTCTCACGCCCTCGGCCCTCGCCCGTAGCCTCGTCAACTTGAATTGGGTACCCACGATTCCTTATGGGCCCCTGGCTGGGCTGAGGACTGCCAGTCCTTCGGTCGGGCCCAGCCAAGTCCGCCGCAGCGCTTGGCTCTGTCCTGCTGCTGAGCGCCTCAAAGGCGTCGGCCTGCTCGTTGGCCGCCAGGTAGGCGTGCAGGCCGCCGCTCGGCGCCGCCGCCACCACGGAGCGGCTGGGCGCCGCCGCCTCCGCCTCCTCAGCCCCGGCCGGGGCGGGCGGCGCCGCGCTGTCGGGGCCGCCGCCTGGCAGCAGGGTGCTACCCGCGGGCCTGGCCACTGCCAGCAGCAGCGCCAGCAGCAGGTGGAGGGGCCGCCGCAGCGGCCTTCTGGTCGGCAGCGCGCTGGCGGGCCGCCTCGCCTGCCGCTCGGCTCTCCACGGCGGCCGCTGGGGGGAGCCCAGCTCCTGGCGCAGCGCCCGCGGCGGGGGCGGCGGCGGCAGCAGGGGCGGCCGCCTGTCCTGCGGGCTGCGGCGGGGCCGCAGCGCCCTGCTCGGGGGTGCCAGGGGCCACGGCTGCTGCAGGCCCCTCCTCGGTGCGCTTGCGCTTCTTGGCCACCTCCTCCTCGATCTGGCGCTTGATGCGCTGCTGGTGCTCCTGGCAGTTGCGCTCGAACGTAGCCTGCGCGCCCTGCATGATCTGGAGCCCCTCATCGCAGAGGCGCCTGAGGGTGGCCTGCACCTCCTCCTCCAGCTCCGCGAAGTTGTCGAACGACTCCGCGTCGAAGTTGAAGGTGAGCTGCCTCGCGCCGTCGGGCTGGGCGCCCACGACGCCAGCCGCCTGGGCACGCTGGCGCAGGAGGGCGTTCTCCTCCTCCTTGGCCTCCGCGAGGTTGACCGCAGCCTCGTCGCGCCAGCCGCGGCACTCAGCGAGGTGGTCCTCCGCCGCCACGAGCGCGTCCGCCGCCTCGTCGAGCTGGCGCTGGAGGTTGATCCGCTTCGCCGTGGCCGACTGCAGCCGCTGCTCGAGCGGCTTCGGCGCTGGGGCGACCGCGGGCGCGACGCAGCCCCGCGCGTCGCGGACCGCCTCCTGCAGCCTGGCCGCGATGGCGGGGTCCCCACAGGCGAGGAGCGCGTCGAGCTCGCTCTCGGGCGGGGTCGACCAGGGGGCCTTCGGGAAGGCGCCTCCGCCACGGCCGCCCGCGCCACCGCCGCCGCCGCCTCGGGAGGCTGCCCCGCGGCCCTTGCCGCCCTTGCCGCCCTTGGCGCCATCCTTCGTCGGGCCTCCGCCGCCGCCACCACGATGTGCGAGTTGGGAGCCGCCGCCGCCGCCGTCCGCCCAGACCCCGCCACGGGGCGAAGGCTTCGCGGGCGCCAGCTCCAGCCCGATCCCGCACAGCCAGCACTTCGCGTTCTTGCGGAAGTTCCAGCGGTAGCGGCAGCCCGTGCACACGACGAAGCCAGGCTCGGCCTTGGGCCCCATCGCTGGGACGGGCGGGCGCGCTGCTCAGCCGCGGGCGTGCAGCAGGCAGGGGCCGACGGGGGCGGACCCGCCGACCCAGAAGAAGTCGTGACTCGAAGGTCCTGGAGGGTGCTGCTCAGGCAGCACTCACTTGTTGGAAAGGAAGGTGGCCTCAAAGCGGAACCTCCCTCGCGCTCAGAAGTCGCCCCTGAAGACTCGCGGTCGTCGGGACGGTTCATTGCCTTGAGCCAAAATGGCTACGCACCACGGTGGGGGCATTGGATAGGGAACCCTTAGATAAGGAATCCAGGGTCTGGAAGCCCGTGGAACAGCGACTGATGCTTGGTCATGGACATCACCCTCACCCTCATCAGATGGAATCCGCCAGGGTCTGAAACCTCCTGCGCACATTCCTTCACGAACGCCCCTACCGTATTGCAAATGTACTGCGCCGGGGAATTGTGTTAATCACTTTGCATTGCAACTCATGCATTGCACGCGAAACTCCAGCAATACATCTGCGCCCCGGAATGTACTGCACGCCCTAAATCTATTGCAACCCAAAAACCGACACGTCGGTCGGAAGAAGTAGGTAGAAACATGAAGTAGGAAGGCGGATATAGTAGATTGGGCCCAGGTCCTCCCAGAGAATAACAAAACACAGCAAAATCAGGTCGATTCTTGAAGCAGGAAGGCGCTTGAAACAGACTGGGATCTGGGAATCCAGAAATACCTACCTTCAACGACCGGCGTGCACTCCTTGCAGCTTTGACCCCCTTTTGGGTCACCCAGAACCTATCTGGAGCCCCGAGGAGGCAGGAGGAGGAGGAGGAGGAGGACAGACCAGCGCGTCTGCCCCTGGAGCGCCGACCGCAGCATCCCCGGTTCTCTCGGCGGCGAGCCCCCGGTGGGGAGGGTGTGGAGCAGGGGCCGACCGCCCCGGCATTCCTATAGTCAGGGGGACGTAAGATCTGGGTACAGGGGACTCGGAAATCCCCGACGAGGTCGTCAAAAAAATGACGAGGCCGAGCCTGCATTTTGACGAGGCCTCCCGCTGCAGACATCCCACGAAACTCCTCCTCGTCAAAATCCGAGGCGCGGTCGTCAAAAAACGATGGCGAACCGGAGTCCTGGCAAACCCGGGTCTTACGCTCCCCCGAGTGGAGCAGGGACCGACCGTCCCGGCATTCCTATAGGCCTACCACGACATGTTCTGAAGCGAAACATGAGAACCCGATGTGTGAATACACGGCAGTCTCAGCCAGATATTGCTCTAAGGACATCTCGTGCAGACTACAGAAGGTTCTTAGAACATGACTTGGTGGACGTGTAGGCGAGCCAGGACGCTTCGCCACTGCTTGAAAGTGAGAAGGAGAAGACCTCCTCAGCATGCTAAGAAGTCCCCCGGCCTTCTGAGAAGTTTTCTAAGCCTGCCCGGAAGACGCATTACAACCTTCTCGGGAGGCGCGAGGGCTTCTGAGAAGCCCCACCGCCTTCTGAGAAAGGCCGTCTGCTTCTCACCTCCCCCTGGGCGCGCCGCCAAAGTTTGATCTGAATCGATGTACACTTCGGGGGCCAACGCCCACCTTGATACTATCAGGATCGATGGGGGACATCAGGTGCAGGCCGTCGATCCTGCGAATGCGAGACAGCGCGACGTAGAGGAGCCCGTCCACGAACGCGTACGGGTCCACGCGCACCCTGCTCAGCGTCATCCCCTGGGACCTGTGATGGGTGATCGCCCAGGCGAGCTGCAGAGGCAGCTGCTCCCGGAAGCACATGCCCCAGCCCGGCACGGTGGCCGAGAAGCTCCTCGGCAAGATCATCTGGGAGCCGGCGCCTTCGAAGTCCACCTCGGCCCAGTCCCCCTTCTCGCCCGGGGGCGGCAACCGCGTCACGGTGCCGATCGCCCCGGTCACCAGCTTGCTGTGCTGAGTTCTCAGGTTTGCCGCGAGCATCACCCTGGCGCCCACCTTCAGCTCCAGATGCTTCACAACCTTGCAGTCGCTGTGCTCCTCGTCGAAAAACGCGCTGGATCTGAGGGTGTGACAGGGATTTTCGGTGTACAAGCGCCAGATTCCAGGGTTCCCGTCCAGATCGTACTCTACCGTGACGTTGTCTTTCGCTTCGAAAACCATAGAATCTGACTGAAGCTCATCTAGCTTCCCATCGTTGAGGCCCCTCACTTGTGCGATAGTCGGCAACATAATCAATGTATCATCGCTTCCAGCCTCCACCGCATCGAAAACCCGCGTGTTGAAGTAGTCAATGGCCTCTCTGCAGTCTGTGCCTTCGGCCTCACCTCGTATGCTGCTGAGGTGTCTGACGAAATCGGCGTCATCGCCCTGGCGATGAGGCGTGCCAAGCTCCACTACCTTGACGGCCAGCTCCCAGTACGCCTGGCTGTGGAAAAACATGCCACGGTTTGTGAATAGATACCTTATGCGACCGTTGTAATCCAGAGCAAGCATGTTATTGTTCAGAAGCTCGTCGGGGTGTAGGCCTTGGAGGTTCTTGAACGTCTGATGGATGGGGGGTATCTGGAACGGGTCCCCCGAGAAGATGAGCTGCAGGCCTCCAAAGGGCGCGTCGCTGTTACGGATGTTCCTCAACTCGCTGTCGAGGTAGTCGAGAAACTCCCCAGACACCATTGAGATCTCGTCGATGATCAGCACCTCTAACTTGGTCCACATATCCTTCTTCCCACTCATCTTCTTGAAGTCGGACTTGTAGTACGGAACCCCACACCCTGCAACGTCGTGCAAAGTCGTGCCACCGATCAAGAGGGCGGCACGACCGGTGGACGCTGAGACCGCCACTCTGTCCCCGAAGTCGCCGCCGTGCCTGTCCCTCAGCGCGTCGATGATCCGCAGCAGCGTGAACGACTTCCCGCTCCCGGCGCCCCCAGAGATGAAGAGGCTCTCCCCGCGCAGCGCGCTCTCGAGCGCGGCCTGCTGCTGCTCGTCGAGCAGGCCCACGTCGACGCCTCCCCTCGAGCGCTGGCGCATCGGCACCCGCCGCAGGCGACCACTGCCGAGCGGCGCGCTGCCGAGCGGCGCGCGGCCGCTGCTGAGCGGCCGCCGCGGAGCGGCGCGCGGCCGCTGGGGCAGCGCGAAGACAGCGGAGGAAGAAACTGCACATGAGCGTTAAGCTTCTGAGGGTCTGAGCGAGACTCGTGACTCGGGCCGGATACCCCCCCTCCCTGGCGCGCGGAGCGCGCTGGGGCAGCGGCAGAGAGGCGGGTCCCCTGAGATCCGTCGTCCCGAACAAGAATGCAACAGAGCAGAGCACCTCGACCGGAGCCCCGGACCGAATTGTCCTTCGCCGTTTAAGGGCCGGGCTGGGCCCGAAGCCGGGCGGAAACGCCCAGCTCGAAAAATTGCGACGCTCGAGAAAAGTAGAGTGCGGATCTCAGGGTCCAGCGCCGTTGCAGGGAGTGCGCCGCGGAGCTTCAGAAGCGCCTGGTCGTGCCGCTTTCTCCCTCGAGATGAGCTCGGCGACGCACGCGAGGGGCAACGTTCGGGGGGGCTGGCTCCGGGAGGAAAACAACAACCTGGAACCAGCGATACATCGCCGATAGATCGGCGAATAGGCCCCCGAGAAAGAGTCCGCACGGTCCTGGGCGGGGTGGGCTACCGGGCCCCTATCGGCGATGAATCGGCGATTGGGGGTCGATGCGCCTTCGGTGGCAGCTCACGGGAGCCTCCCATGGCATCTTGCTGGCTCTTGCGGATCGACGCTGACCGACGCCAATCGACGCTATTCGACGCGAGCCCACGCCGAAGCGGCGCTCGCCGACGCTGAACCTGCGCCTCCTCATCGTCTACCAGACGTTGACCAGCGCGCGCGCCACTGCACGCCAAAGGCGGAACTTCGAGGACACGCGGGAGCCCCATGATTTGCTACCAACTGCACACACACACACACACACCCGAGCTTATTCGGAGCAGGGCGAGTGGAGACGCCGGCAGCCGAAAAAGTCGGCCTCTCCGGATCCCTCCTCCGGGGTCCAGACGCAGGACTTGTCCGAGCTGCGCCCGGCCACGGCGACGAGGGCCTCCCCCGAGAGCCAGCTGCCGTTGCCTCGGCTGGCCCTCCCCGGCCGCTCTTCGCCTGGCCTTCGGGTCATCACTCTGGAGTCCCGAAACGGTGCGGTGACAGACCGTGCGGTGACCTCGCAATCCCCCAAGACCTCACCGCACGGTCCGTCACCGCACGGTCTTGGGACCCTGGAGGCCCCTGTCGCCCGATACATCCTCGGAGAACGACCCGAGTCCCAAAACCGTGAGGTGACCCCGAATCCCCACCGACTCACCGCACGGTGTGGTCACCACCACGTTTGGGGGCCCCCGAATCACTCGGGCCCCCGCCGGCCGTCCGGGACGGCACGGACACCCCCTGGAACACGCTCGACGGGGCGCAGCTGCTGGACGGCATCCCGAGGCTGGACAGCCGCCGAGAAACGACGAAAACGTCAAAAAACGGTCGAGGGTCTGCTCACTCGAGGGTCTACTCACGGGTTGGGTTGGGGTGGTTTGGTGGGTGGTGACTCAGGAGACCGCTGTTCAGGAACGCAGAGGCTCGAATCGACAGAGTTACCTCATCTTTCTTCAGGCATGGTCGAGACCCTGGGCCACAAAGATCGTGCCCATCACGACTTGAGGACTTTCTCTCCAGACCCTGAGCTGCGCCCGCCAGTCCTTAAAATATAAGACACGTTCGAGAGCCCCGTCTGGAAGCAGAGATTCCTTGAAGGATGCCTCCACCGAATTCGCTGCCCCTGAAGACCCAGACCCCCAACGTCGTGATTGCTTCACTACGTCGACCCCCCGAGGTCTGCACCCCTTCCCCGGGACCGGGTTTTTGCCCCGAGTCGTTTTCTCACTTCACGGCCCCGAGGCCCGGGAAGGGCCCCCGCAGGAAGAGAAGTACAGAAAATCTGCCCGGGACGGGCTTCTCGTCCCCAGTCGTCTTCTGACGGCCCCGAGGCCCTGCCAAGGGCCCCCGGAGGCCGACAGTAGCGAGAAATCTGCCGCCGCGACTTCTTCACGACGCGAGGGCCTGGTCTGGAGGCAGAAATCAGAGCGTGAATTACCTACCCCGCTTTCGCTTCCAGGAAAAACCCAGTCATACCACGCGCCTCCTCGTCAAGCGACCTGACCAGTACAGGCCGTAGTTTGGCATCGTTTGGCATCTCTTGGAAGCGAGGGTGGTCCAAAGCGAGGCAGGTTTGTTTTCCCCCGAAGAAGCTCCTTCATAGACTGCCTCCACCGACCTCGTTGCCCCTCTGGGGACGGGGCCGCCCACGGCGCGCGGCCCAGGGCCGCCGCGGCCGCGGCGAGGGCGCCCGCGCACGCCAGCAGCGCCCGCCGCGGCGGCGCGCCGCGGCGCACGCGCACGCCGGCGCCGGCGGGGGCGGGCATGCCGAGGCGCTCGGCGGGCTGCGTGGCGCTCGCGGGCTGCGCCGCGCGCCGCGGCCGGGGAGGGGGGGAAGAGTGCTGCAGAGAGCCGGAGGCGATAGAGAGGGGAGGAGGAGGAGGAGGAGGAGGAGGAGGAGGAGGAGGAGGAGGAGGAGGAGGAGGAGGGGGAGGAGGAGGAGGGGAGGAGGAGAGGAGGAGGAGGAGGAGGAGGAGGGGAGGGGGAGGAGGAGGAGGAGGAGGAGATGGAGAAGGAGGAGGAGGTGGAGGAGGAGGAGGAGGAGGAGGACGAGGAGGAGGGAGGAGGAGGAGGAGGTGGAGGAGGAGGGGGGGGGCAGGAGGAGGAGGAGGAGCCAAGAGGAGAATGAGGACAGACAGACAAACAATCACCATAAGCTCCGACCGATGCCGCTGGGGAGAGCTGGATGCACTATGCAATTCAGCTATATCAAAATCATCACTGGGCCGAACAACGACTTGAATGTCAAATGACCCTGGACCGGCGAGCCTGATCAGGCCAGGAACGTGCCTAAAGGCTGGGCCTCGAGGCGACAGGGCGGCACTCTACGGAGCCACGAAGACTCCAGCACACGTCCCCGCGATCTCCGACGCGTGAGGGGACCGTGAGGGGCAACCCTGATACTGTCAAAAGGCAACGCCGATACCCGACCAACGAAGTGACACCAGGAGAGGCGGCGTGGTTCCTTGCGCGTCGCTGTACCATTGTGGAACCACGGAGGGCGGCCAGACGAGGGGAGGACGGGCAGGACGAATCAAGCAGCTTGGAGAACGCAAGAAGTGGACTCGCAAGAGCCTAGCGCAGAGCCCCCGCCACTACACGACGGAGCCCCCAGGGCCATATCCACCCTGCAGCAACCGAGGTCCTACGCAGGGCCCCTGTCAGCACAGTCAACAAACAAAAAGTTCGATGCGGAAAACAATTCGCCACTCATTCACTGCGCCCCGCTGCTACTGCTACTGCGCTGGTTATGCCATTACCGTGCCATCTCATAAACTCCACCAGTGCTCATCATCGTCTGAAACTGCGGAGTGCCAGAGACGATATGGCGAAAGGCCAAAACATCTGCTACCTTTCGGAGCCTGGACGGGCGAGAGACGGTGCCTGGTCGAGCGCTCAGCGCTCAGCAGCGCTCAGCGCTCACCGCGCGATCAGCTAGCGGCAGCCACGGAGCATTACCAGGTTAGCGAGAAGCCACAGCACCAAGATCCCACTGCGTTCCAGCACCGTCGGCTCTGCTGACTGCGCCATCCCAGAGAACAATATCTCGCGGCCTCGCGGAAGGTCGCCCACCATGACGCCGAGCGACGGACAGCGTTCGTGGGTCTGCGGCCCCGGCGCGGCCATTCAGGCCGCGTCCATCTTCTCCAACGCACGCTGGATCTCGCGCCCCATGGACGTTGGAGGGGCCCGCCCTCGTTTCAGCGTCAGGTCCTGAAGCCACTCGAAAGCCTCGAGTATCATCCGGCGGAACGCGGGGTTCCTGAACGCGAATATCATGTCCTCCGCACCCTTCTGGAAGACCTTCTCCACTTTGCAGCGCAGTATCAGTTCGCACTTCTTCGCCGCACCCCATTGGTTGCAATCCTCGTGCGCGCGCTGAATCCTGCCGTGGAGCTCCGCGCCCACGGAAGCCCCCTGCGCGGGGGCATCAGGGCTCTGATCCTTCGCCCACTTCAACGCGCCTCCGAACGCCCAGATCCGGGGGGCGCCGCGCTCGCCGCCTGCCCCGCCTCGCCGCGCGCGGAGGCTTGCCCCCCATGTCCAGGGCGAGGGGGCGGTCCTCCGGGCCGAGGAACGCGTCGAAGGGCGCCGCCACGACCTCGCGCATTTGCTGGGAGTTACGGAGGGTCTGGCGCGCCATCATGCCGAACACCCGATACTAGCCCGACTTCCACGTCGCGGCCTCCTTGTGCCCGTCGGCACCCCCGCTGTCGCTCCCCCTTCGGCGCCGGCGCGCCGCGCGGGCGCGCGCTGGCGGCACGGCCGCGCCGCCCGCCGTCAGCGCTGCCGGCATGAAGCGCCCGCCCCGGATGGGCGGGGCGAGGGGCGACGAGCCGCGGAAGCGGCAGAGGAAGGTGCTCGCGTCGATGGTGATCGCGCAGTTCACTCACTGAGCCAAAAGCCGCTACGTCAAATAATCCACATCTCAGTCCAGAGGGCGCCCAGACCCCCCCCAACACGCGGGCCCTGCCGAATTTGCAACGCCCGTCAGGGTAGATTGTCAGTCCTGGAAGACTGGGCAGACGTTGGGGCATTGCTTCAGGGCCACTCCAGAGTTTGAGATAGAACGCGTAATATGTCGCGCCTGTCGGCGCGCTAGAAGCCGTTGAAGAGTAGCAATGTCAAGACCGCAACTCTGCCGGGTAGGGCCCAGAAGCTCACGCGCATATTTTTAACAGGACGGAGGGGCCTGAAAACGAAAAGACGAAATCGTCGACCCCAATGCCTCCCCCCCGCAAAGGCTGCAGACAGTAAGAGGCCAGGGTCTCTCTTCAGAAACTCGCGGGCAGAATCTGATTTCTCCTGCAATAGCTCTCTCCGCGAATCACCTGGGCCCCCCCGCACTTCGAACACGGCTTCCGCATCACTTATATCCAGAAAACATTCTAGATCACGGGCAAAATGACGCGCCCATGGGCCCACGCCCCAGAAGGTGTAAAAGAAGGTTCTTCATGCAAGACGCGCCCCCAAGACAACCGCGACGGTCTGAGCGCGAGCGCGTCGATGCCGAACCGCGCACTGGAGCCGACGAACCCGTCGGACCGCGAGCTCGCCCGCGCTCGGCAAGATGCGCCACTCTCGCAAGACCTCGTCGTTGCTCAGCGATGCGGCGCGGGGCCCATCCCAGCTCGTCGCCGAGCCTTTCATCAACACTTGAGGGTAGCGGACGACAACCACGTCGATGCGAGAGCTCTCCGACGAGGCGAGAACGAATGCCTCGAGCCCCGCAAGGCCGATCTCCACGACGATGCTAAGATCTATTTCCCGCGCAAGTCGACGCAGTCCCCTCTCATGTCAAAGTGCCCCATCATGCTGCACCCTCCTCTCATCCCTTGGATGCGCAGCTCCGCCTCCACCCCGTTGCCCCCCTTCATCGTGCACCGCGCTCCCAAGCGAGGCGCATGTGCCCTTACTGCGCTTCGTTTAGCAGGACAGAGGTCCTGTTATTGGCGATTTGTTACGGTGGAACCAACATGCAATGCGCCCCCCTTGTTGCCGATGGTCTGGGAGAACACAAATTCGGAAACATTCCATTCACGGTCACATCGCTAGCTGCAATATTCTGGATGACTTCCCGGACGTTCAGGCCTCGAGGTACAAGTCGCTCACGACTGATCTCATCTGCAAAGCCTGGGACGTCCATGCTCGGTCCAGAGCCAAATTCACCGTGGGCAAGAATAGGAGTACGAGTAAGATCAGCGCGCAGTTCCTCAATCGTGTCATGGAAGACCCCGACGAACTGCTCAGGTATCTCGCACAACCCCTGGAAGCCCCGTTCTTCGCGAGAAAGAAGTGGCGCTCCTTTAAAACAACATGGAACTCACGACACCACTCCGAATGCGCTGCGCTGCAAAGACAACGCGGTCACCCACAGTCGCTAAAGACGAGGAGGATGGGCAAATGAACGCATTGCTGAGGTCGTGAAGCTAGTTCGTTCAAGCGAGGCAGAGCGAGACGACGGAGGGCGAAGCTGACGCGCTGTTGGACAAAGATTCCCCCCTCCCTCCACCACCCAGGAAAGCTAGGATCATATTGCTTAGCCTTCGTAGGAAATGGCTCCATTTGAATTACATGAACAAGTATATCTGTGAATGCACGACGGGCGCGCAGTAGCCAGCCAAAACCAAAAAACGATTCTCGCAAGCACCTGCTACCCGAGGGCCGCCACCGGTACAAATGGTGTCTCTCGGGAAAAACGCATCGGGAACCAGCAGGGCGCGCATCAAAGTCGTCATCTGCCTGACCCACCCCTGGGAAAAAGTCATCGTCAGCTCGTGGCACTCGCTGGCCAAGCGGCGCGGTTACAGATTTGCGCGTCGCCGAACATTGCGGAATCACGGATGGCGGGACGGGCACAGGGTCAGGCGTGGCACTTGCATGCCCTTAACCAAATCCTTGGCAACCGGTTGTAGAAAAGGTGTCCAGGATCGAAGACAAGAAAGGAGACTTCGACAGGAACGCTCCCACCCACTGTGGCACGACGGTTTTGGCCCGACGTAGTTGACAGAGTAGCCTATTTACCGACGTCTCCGCCAGCACTTCAATCCGAGAAATCCGGGAAAGGATGCCAGCAATTGAAGGAAACGCCAGGAACTCTGCCAACTTGGTGTCGTAGTCCTCCGGATAGGTTGCCCCCATTCCACCGCCGGCTCCTTCTTACCTCTAATTGCCTCCTCCAACTCCGAGCGATGAGGGGTAAAACCCGAGACATGGTTGTATTTGCGATGCTTGACCCCCGTGGACCTCCCAGCTAAGACGCGCGCTGAGCGGCGAACCTCGGCCCGGTGACCTCAAGCGGCGGGCCCCGCGAAGGTCCTCGAGTGCAGCAGCCCGCCGTCGAGCACGCGTCCTGCGGAAGAGACGGCGGAGCAGGCCACGAAAACGACTAATTTTCCCGCGGCACTCCACGCGTTCTTCCGAATCGCAGGGGTGATGGCCATAGGTTCTCCAATAGCGACGAAGCTCCCAGCGATGTTGGCGACGCTCACGGACGAGAGATAAAGCGCTCACGACGTAAAGTGCGATACACATCGTGCGGAGGTACGGGTGTGAATGAGAGGTGCTTGCGTGACGTGTCCTGCACTATGCTTATCCAGCGGTCATACTCACGATCTGTGTGCGCGTCCTGCTGGTATTCAGAGAAACTCGATGCAGCTTCCTCCCAACTCCTCGTGAAACTGTTTCCCGT